TCCTCCCCCCGCCCGGGCCCACCTCCTCCCTGGAGCCCCGCCCACAAACAGCCCCGTCCCCACGCCCTACCCCGCAGCCCCGCCCCTACCTCCTGCACGTGCTCCTTGGCCCGCAGGTCCGAGGGGTGCATCAGCGAGCCCATGACCTTGACATTGCCGTGCACAACCAGCGCCTCGTCCGGCCGGTCTGTGTTGATGCCCACGCGGCCGTGGTGGAAGACGGTGTCGGGCACCTGCGCCCGCTGCCACAGCACGTCGCTGTCGCTCTCGAACTGGCCTGGGTTGGAGGCCTGCCACGGGTTGGGGCTGGATCAGTCCTGGGGGATAGGAGACCTGCAGGGCCCTGGGAATGGGGGAACCCCCAGCCGCCAGGACTTCTCACCCCACCACGCCCCACTTAAGCTATCTCATTGTGACAACTTCGAGTCACTTGTGGAATCCCGGAAGCCACCGATCTCGTCCACCTCCGTGCTTTAATGCGAAGGAGACCAGAGGCCCAGAGTGGGAGGGAGCCTTGCCCAAAGCCACCCAGCCCAGTGCAGGATCAGCACTGGCTCCTGAGTCCCCAGCACCCCAGAAATTCTCCTGGGGGTTGTTTCTCCCAGACCTGGAGGACACTACCCCTGGGGGGGAGGTGGGCCTCACCCGCACGATGATGCGCTCAGAGATCTGGGCGGCCAGCGTGTAGTTCTGGTTCTGCGCGTGGGCCTGCAGGGCCACCACCAGCATGAAATACCTGGGACACACAGGGGTCTCAGAGGTGCCCAGGGTCCTGCCCCCCCACTCTTCCCCAAGCGGATTCACACTCGTCTCACCCCACCCTGCAGAGGAGGAACCCGAGTGTCCACTAGGGGGCAGGAGTTCCCCAGGGCCAGGGCTGGAAGGCCACAGAGCTGTTTCCTGAACCCAGAAGCCCGGCTTCTGCTCCTCCCACTCATCCCTAGGTCAGTTAAGGGGTCTGGACCTCAGCTCTCTCATCTGTGAGATGACTCTGCCCGCTGAGCTCCAGGGGTGCTGTCTTCCTGCCCTCCCCCTCGGAAATGCATTCGGGGCAGGGCCTGGCCTGCTCACCTCTGGTCCGGGTTGGGCTTGCCCTTCTTGCGCATGTTGTTGGCGGTGGTCTCGCTGAAGTGCAGCCGCCCCACGGTCACCTTCGTGACCTGCTCGGGGGGCAGATTGACCCTGCAGAGAAGGGGCAGGTGCTCAGGGGGAAGGGAGGGAGGCTGCCAAGTGCCAGGCCACAGAGGGGGGCCAGTGTGTGGGAGGTGGGCACTGGGGGGTCCCTGCCTGCCCTGCCGCCCTGTTCCCAAGCCAGCTCCAGGGCGGGCCATTCCAGGTACCACCTCCACATGGGGTCAGACATGCAAGTGACAGGGTTGAAAGTTTTCCCCTATGGGGCCAGACACTCACGCAATGGGGTTGAAGGTAACACCCCCTCCCCCACAGGGTCAGGCAGTCACAAGATGGGGTTCAATGTGTCCCCCCCACTACAGCGTCAGACATGTGAAGAGGTTAAAGGTACCACCCTACAGGGCCAGACACTCACGTGACGGGGTTAAAGGGCCGCTTGCTTCGGTCTGACTGGGACTGCTCAATGTTAATGGACTGGTTCAAGGCCTCCAGCTGGAGAAGCAGAGCCCAGTGGCACCTCAAGGCCTGGTTCCCCACCTGGACCTCCCCCCTGCACCCTCCCGGCCAGGCCTGGTCAGCTGGAGCTCACTCAGCCTCCCTGCCCACAAATCCACGGTCCTTTTACACAGCCACACCCTCTGGGATCCCTCCTCCCCCTCACAGAGTACCACTCCCCCATCAGCGCATTGGCTGCACACACGGTCACTCCCCAAGCACCCACACCCCCATGACCATGCCTATACCCCACCTCCGCATGCCTGTACACACACACACAACCCCCCTCACGCCAGCCTCCATGCACATCCACATACCCCCAAACCCACCCACTCCCAGACCCTCTCCACACCCCATACCCTCACCCTTTCATACACACTGGCTGGGCTATGCCCCTCCCGACACCAAAGCCTGCAGCCTGGCCACACCCCTAGGAGTTCACAGACTCTAAATCCACCCCCTGCAAGCCAAAATGGACCTCAGGGCAGGGTTCCTGGGGAGGGCACCAGCTAGAGAGGGTGAACGGGAGTTTGGGAGGGCGTCCGAGGCACAGCGTGCACCAGGACCAAGGCCAGGGGAGGGCTGGACCCCACGACCCTTGTGGGCTCCGCTGAGAAGCTGGGGCTTTGCTGGGAGGACATGGGGCCTTGGAAGGATGGGGAGTGCCGTGGCCCCCTACGTCTCAGGTGGAGCACGAGTTGGGGGCCGAACATGGAGGATGATGACCCTGCCCAGGGGGACAGGCAGGGGACTGGAGAGGACCAGGCGGAGGGATCTTTGGGGGTCTGATGCATGCGTAGGGGTGAGAGGCCCTCACCCGCATTACAGGTTGGGTCACCGTGACTTGGAAGAGCTCGGGGTGGGGCCAAGTTCACAGGGAGTTGAGTTTGGGGCTTGGAACTGAGGCAGCTGGGAGAGGGGTCAGGAGATGGTCCCGGCAGGGGGTGCAGACTTGGGGGTCACAAGGTAGAGCAGGAATCAGGGTGCAAGAGAGAGAAGGCTGAGGAGCCCCACATTTAAGGGGCAGACCCAGAGGGAAAGACAGGAGGGGCAGGGGTGGAGGGCTGGACTCAGCCTGGGGAGTTCCCTCACTCACACTCGCTTTGCCCTGGGGTCCCCCCCAGGCTCCTGAGGCCTCCAGCCCGCCCCTCCTTGCCAGACCCTAAACCTGCCTTCACTCCGTGCAGTTTCAGATAGAAGCAGTCAAGGGGCTTGAGGCCTTCGGGCGTCTTGACATACTTGGGCTCGCCCAGCATGCCGATGTATACTGTCACCTGGAAGTGGTTCTTCTTCTGACACACGAAGGCGTCGTCGCCCACTGAGAAGTTGAAGCCCTTGTCGGCATCCACGCGATAGGTGAGCATGGGCCTGGGGGGCAGGGGAGGGCACTCACTGGTCTGGAAGGTCGGTTCCTCCCACTTGCCTCGGTTCCAAAGTAATTTTCTACCCCAGAGCTCCTATCCTCAAACCGCCAACAGGGCTGCCCCCACTTCTCAGAAATGGAAACTGAATCCCTGCAGGGCTGCCAACCCCTCAGCTGATGTTCTGCCCTCGGCATCATGCCTTAGGCCACTGCCCTGCCCTGGTGATGGGGGACGGAGGGCAAGACCCTTGAGGCCCATCAGAGATGAGGTCTCTTTTTTTTTTTTTTTTTTGGTAGAGACAAGGTCTCGCTATGTTGCCCAGGCTGGTCTTGAACTCCTAGGCTCAAGCAATCCTCTGGCCTCGGCCTCCCAAAGTGCTGGATTATAGGCATGAGCCACTGCTCAACCAGACTCTTGAGGAGTGAGCTCCACAGTTCCCTCCCTACACTGGGCTCCTTCCCCAAGGCTGCCTGAAGCCCCCTAGCTTGCTCGCAGGAGGTGGGCGAGAGGGGCTGCCTCTGCAGAGGCTCAGGGTGCCTGACAGCTGGTTGCCCTGGAAACGGCAGAACCAGGCGCGCTGGCTCTGCCGCAGGCCCTGCCCTGCCCACCAGCGTGCTCAAGCCCCCAGAAGCCCTTCTGACTCTCGCTCCTCCGTCTGCCCAGAACGGAAGAGGGGCACTTCTGGACTCAGCCTCTGACTCAGCCTCAGTTTGCCCATTTGTTGTTGTGTCCCAAGTCTGGCCCCTTTGGGGAACTTCTAGGTGTCAGTGAAGAGGGCAATGATTAGTCTGCAACTTAGCCCACCCTTGCCCAGGTCCCCAGGCACAAGTGGTGCCCCCGTGATCACAGGAGTGCCCAGTGCCTGCCTGGAGGAAGCTGGCCGGGGAGAATGATTCCAAGCTTGTGGGAAGAGGCCGTTGGGCCTGGGGAAAGTCCATGGAAGACCTGAGCTCACCTCCTTCCCCTCCCTGGGTCCACCCGCCTGCCCGACCCAGCACAGCACCCAGAAAGTGCCTGGGCTGCACTGGGGGTTGCAGCTGCCAGCTTGCTGGCCTTGGGACCTGGGGAGACGGGGGAGCAGGCCCAAGGAGTATGGAGGTAAGACCAGAGGGGTTCCTTCCCATGCCAGAGGTCAGAACCCCCACAGGCCTGCCCCCCAACCCTGGCAGGACCACATGGGACCCTTCAGCCACCACAGCAGCTGGAGGCCCCCAGCCCTAGGGGCCTCTGGTTAAGAACCCCACAAGGCCTTGGGTGCCCGACTCCAGGCAGCTGGTGCCAGCCACTGTCTTGTGACAAGGCAGGTCCCAGCCACCCAGCCCAGGTAGTGTCCACAGTCACTCTCTCACCCGCCCATGGGCTTTCTGGGGGAGCAAGAGGGGTGGTCCCCACAGGGCTCCTGGGGCCTGGAAGGCTGAAGACTTGAGGGCGCGAAGGGAGAGCCAGGAATGCCCAGGCGGCCTCCAGTCCGTCCTCCCCACCCCTCCTCCCTCCCTCCAGGGGGGTGCTGCTGGGAGGGCCCGGCTTACACTCAGCTTCCGGCCACCTTCCTGGAATGCAGGAGGAGGAGGAGGAAGGGGAGGAGGAGGCCAGAAACACCCATCCGCCCACTTCTCTCTAACTTGGTTCCCTGGCCCCACCCTGGCTGACACATCTCGGAGAGGCCTGGGGCTGGATCAGGAACCCTGAGCACCAGCCCGAGTGCTACCTTGAGGCTGTTTGCGCTTCTGTAAAATGGGTCTATCTTGTACCCCGTGTGCTCCCAGGCCCTGCTCTAGGGCCTTGGTGGGGTCCCGGGAAGGATGGCCCCCTCACTCACAGCTCCTTGTAGTTGGCATCGTACAGGGTCGCCCACTTGTTCTGCTGATGTGGCTGCCACTTGATGGACTGGTAGTTGGGGTCCAGGTAGGAGCCACTGAGGCTGTCATTGTCCTGCAGGAGGCCTGGAGGGACAGAATGCCATGTGGGTCCCGGGCCCTGGGCCGCAGACCCCCCCCCTCCTTGAATGGTTGGCCAGCCAAGTACCTGGGGAGGGGGCCCCTGGAGGGTGCCAAGGTGGTGTCTGGACCCGGGCAATGCTGAGGGGCAGGGAGCCGGGGCCAGGTGAGAGCGGACCCTGGGGAGGCCACGGGGCAGACGGGGCTCGAGCAGGGTGCGGGGGCAGAGCTGTCACGGTCCCAGGCTCCTGTTTGATCATTCCATTCAGCATCTGGGCGTTGAGGGTGCTGGGGGGTGATTCGGAGTGCTTCCTCTTCTTGGAGGGGTGTGTGGGGAGCCTGGGGGGAAGAGGTGTGTGCCATGGGGGCTGGCTCTCCCTGAGCGCCTCTCACAGGGCACTGCCCACCTCTCTCCCCTCTCCACTCTGCAGCTGCCTCCTGCGGGAAGTCCTCAGGCTTTACCCCTTAGTGCTCCCTGCCACTGCCCAATGTTGCTTCTGTCACCGCCATCAACCCCGGATCAGAGAAGCCAGGCGGCAGGAGCTACCACTGACTTGTGCCAGCAAGGGGCCTGACACACAGAGTGCTCGGCAATTGCCTGAGGAACGAAGGAGCTGGTCCTGCCTTTGGTGTCATGCTCAGTATCATTCTACAGTGGGGACTCTGGAGGACAGCCTCTGTGGTCAGAAACAAGCCGCAGAGGGCCTGGTCACAAACACCAGGGAGGGATAGCTTCCTGGCGCGAGGACCCTAGGGGGTCTGCATAGCACTGCTCCCCTTTACAAAACCATTTTTATTTTTATTTTTATTTATTTATTTATTTTTGAGTTGGATTCTCACTGTCGCCCAGACTGCAGTACAGTGGCCGCTCCCGACCACCGCGGCCTCGACCTGCTGGGCTCTGGCGATCCTTCCGCCTCAGCCTTCCAAGTAGCTGGAACTACAGGCGCGCGCTAACACGCCCAGCTAATTTTTTATTTCTCGTAGAGATGAGGTCTCGCCAAGTTGCCCAGGCGGGTCTCGAACCCGCAGGCTCAGGCAGTCCACTCACCTCAGCCTCCCAAGGCGCGGGATTACAGGCTGAGTCACCGAGCCCAGCTAAAATCATTTTTTTTAATGTATTTTATTTGAGTCAGAGTCTCACTCTGTTGCCCAGGCTGGATTGCAATAATGTGATCATGGCTCACTGCAGCCTTGACCACCTGGGCTCAGGCGATCCTTCTGTCTTAGCCTCCCAAGTAACTGGGACTAGAGGTACCCTTCACCACACCCGGCTAATTATTTTGATTTTTTTGTAGAGATGGGTTCCCACTATGTTTCCCAGGTTGGTCTTGAACTCCTGGGCTCAAGCGGTCTTCCTGTCTCGGCCTCCCAAAGTGCTGGGATTACAGGCGTGACCCACCGTGCCCAACCTTACAAAACCTTTTGACAGCAGATTCCTTCCTTGAACTAAATCACTCTTGAAGTCTTTATAGGCAAAACAGACAGGCCGGCATGGTGGCTAAGCCTGTAATCTCAGCACTTTGGGAGGCCAAGGTGAGAGTATTGCCTGAGCCCGGGAGCTGAGACCAGCCCGGGCAATTTGGTGAGATCTTGTCTCTACAATAAGTCACAAAAACTAGCTGGGCATGGTGGCACGTGCCTGTAGTTCCAGCTGCTTGGAAGGCTGAGGCGGAAGGATCACCTAAACCCAGTAGGTAGCGGCTGCGGTGGCCATGAGCATGCCACTGCACTCCAGCCTGGGTGACAAGAGACTTCAACTCAAAAAAAACAACCAGACATGACGATCATGCAGGTGCAGTCAGAACCAGAGCTTGGGTCCAGGCCGGGAAGCTTCTCAGAAACCTGAGGGCACCATGAAGAGGTTGGAAAGTCACCAGCATCTGGGTAGGAGTTCCGGCCCAGACCCAAACTCTGGCCTTTCCCCCGTTCATGATCTGGGCAGGCCATTTCCCCCTTTCAGAACCTCAGTTTACCTATCTGTGCCCAACAAATAAGGTGGTTGTCAGAAATTAGCCATAGCTATAAATCCCTCAAAGTACTGCTGGGCATGTTTGTATAAATATGTTTCTGGTTTTTTTTTTTTTTAGCTGTCATAGCTCACTGCCTCAAGCAATCCTCCCACCTCAGCCTCCCAAGTAGCTGGGACTTCAGAGGCACACCATTGTGCCTGGCTAATTTTTTTTTTTTTTTGTAAAGACAGGGCCTTGCTATGTTGCCCAGACTGGTCATGAACTCCTGGCCTCAAGTGACCCTCCCACCTCGACCTACCAAAGTACTGGGGTTACAAGTGTGAACCACCACACCCAGCCATGCATAAACATGCTGACCCCCGATCTGCCCTGAAGAGCCTTCAGCTGTCCACCCCCATGTCTGGCCTGCCCGCTGCTGCCCTGATGCCCTCACCCCATTTTCCATCTTCCCACTGTCGGGGGAGGCTGCCCAAGTCTTACTCAGCTCCGTGTTGCTGCAGCAGCTGGTGCAGCATCTGGGACTGCTGGGTGTGGTGGAGGTCTGCGGGCACCAGCCCCTGGCCCATGGCAGCGTAGTGGGGGATCGGGGGCTCAGGCTTCATGTACAGGTCCTGCTGCAGGGCAGGGTAGTGAGGTGGGGGGGGCGGG